TTTCCCGTGCTGGTGCCTCTGGGGCTCTCGCCGTGCTCCTCCGCGCAGGGCGGGTCCCGTCTGGGTTCTGGGGGTGGAGGCACTGAGCTTGGGCCGGCCAAGGCCCTGCACAGCCTGCCCCGGCTTGACTCAGTTCTGGGTGGAGACTTGGACCGAGGCTTGCGGAGATCCACAGATTCAGTGGTTTTGGCAAGCCGAAGGCGTGTCCACATGCTTGATATTCTGCATCTGTACAGACATTAAACTCTGTACCTGTGTGATGCCTCAATCGGGCTCTTACCTCTGTGGCCATCATTTAAGTAACTTTGCAGAATTTGGTGCTTGTCTGTTAATAAAATGGGCATTAGACTATAAAGAACCCCAAGCTTGGAAAAACTGCTTTTGAGTAACTTCAGAAGCGGCAGCGCGGGCGGGCTGCTCAAGCCAGCAATTTCAGCTGTACCTGCAGCCTGTCAGTACACAAACAAGCACTTCTTATGATGACTCAGTAACTCTTCCACTGCCGGTGTGGTTTTGAGATTGAAAAATCCTCTGCTGGCTCACCTATGCTTAAGGTGGGGTTTGTACCAGTATAGTTAAATCAGGCACAATAACTAGTATCTCTGTTTTCCTTGCTTCCTCCCCTTACGTGTATTTCTTCGTTCCAGTCAAACATCCTGGCGTACCCTGCAGGCTCATAATGTAGTCAGGAAGTGGTGTTTGTGCGGGTATGTTTTCATTTGCAGCAGTGAAATAATAACTGACTGCCTGTGTTTCTGTGTCCCCTGGACCTCATACCCTCAGGTGGGAGTATGAGCGAGTTCCGCATTCACCACGATGTCAATGAGTTGCTCAGCCTGCTGCGTGTTCACGGTGGGGAAGGAGCCGAAGTCTACATTGATCTTCTGCAGAAGAATCGAACGCCTTACGTTACCACAACTGTCTCTGCACACAGCGCAAAGGTAAGCATCAGTGTGCTGTAATCACAGCTGAGAGTGTTTTGGAGCTCACAGCGGGGCCGGCAGAACTCCTGAGGAGGCGTTGCTTCCTTTGCAATTGTTGATAGAGGTGCCATCGGCTCTGAGAGCACTGTCCTTCCTAAGGAGGAATTCAAGATAAACGTTCCTCAGCACGATTTCTCTTGGCCAGTGATGTGAGCTGCCTTTTCTCTACTCTGCTGTTCTTTAAGATAACTTCTGTGGGTGTGGGGCTGGACACGTGTCGGGAGGGGGGGGTCATGGCTGTCCCAAGTTTTTCTTAGAGTGACGGTGAAAACATGTTGGCAGTGGTAAAAAAATGGGAAATTTTATGTGGAATCTTGATCTAGGGTATGAAGTAGAAAAATTATATCAGGAAAAAGGTAAAATCCTTGCATCTTGGAGAGACTGGTAAAGGAACACAAGAAGGATTGTTAGAACTGGGGTGGGGGAAGTTCAGAGGAGGAGCTTATTTTGTGCCTGTGATGGTTGTTTCAAATTTTAATTAGTGGGGTTGTCCTCTGGAGGAATAAAACAAATGACAAATATTAGGTGTATGAAATGCAATTGTATGAACAATACCTGACTTTTTTCCTGAATATCACCCAGGTATTAGGGATTAAAGCCTGGCACTCTCATGACCAGGCATACTTCTGTGTCCATAATACCGGTTTTCATTGTCACTTTTAAAAGCAATCCATCAGTCAAGCTATATAAATGCTAGAAAATTGCTAACTCTGAAAGTTCAGACCTTTGTAGCCTGAACTGCATGCTTTCTTTAATTCCAGACTTGCGTATCATTTACGCTGATGGCTACAGTTCGTAGACTTGTAGAAAGATTTAAGTAGGAGGCACAGCTGGCGACCTGCAGTCCACCCCTTGCTCACAGCAGGGCCAACATCACAGCTACAGCAGACTGCTTATCTGCGCTTTGAAGATCTCCGGAGGATTCCTTCACCCCTCTGGCTGTGTCCCAGGGTCACCCCTCTCTCCAGAAGGGACTGTTTCCCTAGGGCCAGTTGGGATTTTCCGTGTCACAATTGGTGGCAGTAGCTGTGGTGCTTTTGCTGTGCCCCTCAGGGCAGGGTCTGTAACACCTTTGGGCAATGGGCAGTGCGCCCCACCATCTCCATGGCTCTGCACGGGGCTCAGTCCAGTTTATTGATGTCTCTCTTGTTAGTGGGGCCACCAAAGTGGACCCAGTGTCCAGGAGCAGCTTCATCAGTGCCAGATCCCTTAATAAACCTGCTGATACAAAGTTCTGTTGCTTCAGACTGAGCATGTGCAAAGAGAGCCCTGCTACAGATCTTGTGCTTACCTTCATCTTTTCTATCCTGCAGTCCCTCCTCCATTACCTGAAGTGCCCGGACCCCCGCCCTCCTCCAGCATAATTATTAGTAGGAGACCAATGCTGAAGCTTTCAGTCCGAAACCCTGAAGTACTTTGGTGGCAGCCAAAGCCTGCACCTTGTCTCTATCTTTGCACAATGCTCCTCTCTTGAACGCTGTGATAGTGATATACATTATACATTTAATACTAATGTGATGTTTTACAGGTAAAAATAGCAGAGTTTTCTCGAACTCCTGAAGATTTTTTAAAGAAGTACGATGAGCTGAAGTCTAAAAATACACGGCATCTCGACTCTTTAGTTTATCTACTGTCAAAACTCACAGAAGACAAAGAGGTTTGTTTCTCCTTTAGAACCGGGTGTGTTCTAAGTATTCAACAGTAGCAACAGTGCCGTGATTTTAAGTACAACACGCTTTCTGATGACAGTGTTCAGCGAAATGTTTTTAAATCAACGGATAACCAGTTCTAACAGTTTCTTAATTTTTAAAGTACTACTGAGAATTACACTCCTCTTGATATAAACCACTAAGACATGGGAAACTAGGAGAGAAAGACCTGTGGTCTGATTCGGCACAACCCTCTTACGGTCATATGTTTTTTGCTTTCATGTGTGCTGGCAGTGTTCACAAAATCTTTTCTTTTTTTGTGTATGTACAGACACTCCAATATTTGCAACAAAATGCTAAAGAAAGGGCAGAACTTGCAGCAAATGCAGCAACCAGTAGCAGCACAAATTTTTCCATTCCTTCGTCTACTTCCAAGATATCTCTGCAGGAGCTCGAGGAGCTACGCAAGCAGCTGGGCAGTGTCACAGCCAACTCCAGTGTGCCACAGGTACTGTCTCTTCCCAAGTTTGGGTACAAAAATCTTTCCCTTTGCTCACGTGTACAGCTGTGCTCTTAACTTGCATCATCTAGTGGAATTATAAATGTTTCAATCTGTGCAGGTAATCTAAATTATCTCTCCAAATTTATTTGTCAGACTATATTAAATCTTTGCGCTGTTCTTAATAAAAGTCGCCTTTTTGTATTTTAAGTCAGTTAAGGTAAGTCAAGCTTAGGCCACAACAGTTCTAACTGGTGGGAGTTAATGTAATTTCACTTTCCTATTTCAAAGGACCGCTTTAAGCTGTGCTGATGTTTCCTTTTCTGCCTGTGGCAGTGCTTGCTCGGGAGCTCAGCAGCCACTGTGGTGTGTCCCCATCCTTGCTCGCTCAGATAATGTGGGTACAGTGCCTCACATAATCATTCCCCAAGTGGACACAGCCGTTCCTTCTGCTTAGCTATTTGAGCTCCTGAAATACATCCTGCAAAGTGTTCACAGAGACAAAAAGGAGGAAAAAAACCTGCTGTAAAGTAAACTGTATCGTTGCAAGACACAGGCTTAGAAAACAGTTAAGCAAGCATTTCGTTATCAGTAGGCCGAGAGTAGGAAGTGCAAAAGGGCAATTGTTACTTAAATCCCCACTTCTATTTCCTATAATAATTTGTATAACTAAATATACTGTGATGGGCTGACTTTGGCTAGCCACTCTATCACTCCCCCTGCTCAACAGCACAGGGGGAGAAAAATACAACAAAAAGCTTGTGGGTCAAGATAAGGGCGTTTTGGCTGCAGAAGGCACAGGAGCAACTGTGTACGGGCAGTTATTTGGACAGAGGTGAAAGAGTGGCAAGTGGGGAGAAGAGGAAGAAGAAGAGACGCTCCGAGGTCATAATGAGTGAACAACTGGACAATATGTGCAAATTCTTCCATTTAAATTTCGCAGCTTGCCTGTGTCCCAGAGGTTTGTTTCTGTTCTGCCTTCTGATGACTGGTCAATAAAATCTAACGGGACGAGGCTCCAGCCTCTGCGTGTGACTGTTTCTGAGGATGCCAGCCTGCTTGTGAACGCTCAGAAATCATACGCTGGGGTCTTCTCCGTCTGCAGACTCTGTTGTGGCAACCCTGCGCCCTCGCTCAGTGGAGGCATATCTATGTCTCATTAGCACATGGGGTCTGTCTGCATTGGTGCAGTGCGTGCTTCGCTCAGCTGCTCGCTCTGCGGCACTGCTGGCCCTGTCTTGGTCACACGGCAGCGTTCACGTTCACGATGCATCCTACCAGCCTTTGCTGTTGAGCTCTCTAGCTGTGGCTGTACGCGGTTTATTGCCCGTGCTGGCTCCTCAGCAGATGTGCGGTCACTCTTCAGTTTGTGAAGACCTTTCTGTGGCAGTGGCGGAGCAGAGCTAACACCTTCCAGGGAACACCCTCCTGTCCCTGGTGAAGATGATGACAGTAGATGATGCACCTGACACCAAGTGGGGCGTTTGCTGTGGTGGTCAGATCACTGCAGGCCATTGATGGGCTAGAGGAATGGACCCTCCATGTTCAGTATTTTGGGACACCCAACGGGTCTCTCAGCTTGAAGGGCTGTACATGCATGTGATGATGGAGAGTTCAGATCCTAAACAGAGACCTAAACAATCCCCTGCCCCTGTCAGGCAGTGACGAAACCAGCCTTGTTCCACTGTGAAATGCATGTCTGTGCAGACTGTTTGCCTGACTCATCCAGATCCTTCACAGATGATCTGAGTCAAGTTGTTGATTTAGGTCATGAAGGGAAGATGAATTTCCAGTAAGATAACTGATCTTTTTAACAGGGTTTATGTGCAGGCTTGCTGAAAGAGGAAAGAAGAGTAAATGGTGTTCTCTTGGATGTGCAGTTCACAACCAAAGGAATTGAAATGGCAGTGCGAGCCAATTATCCCTGCTGCTTCTTTTATATCTTCTTCAGACTTGGAGCTGAAACTCTGATAAAAGGCCCTAAACAGGCAGGTGCTTGGGGCTGCTGAGTCAGCAGGGCTGAAATCTCTTGACCCAGAGTTTCTGCTAGAGCCACTTCCCAAGAGGATTGTCAAGTAGTCATAATAATTGCAATTGATTTATTTCTTCAGCACCTGCCATCTCCGTCTCTCTTCTAGAAGCCAGGTTGTGCACTGGCACAAGCCCTGGAGTGATCCTTCATACCGTATTAATGGATGCGAGGGTCTCGCTTGAGCAACTCTGTGATCCTCATGGCACCATCTTCATTTGCCAGGCACAGAGGATAGCTGCCAGTGTTCCCACAGATTTGTTGCGGCGCTGGTGGGAGGAACTGCTGGAGTTGTCTCACAGCAGGACTGTCACCCGCACTGGATCAGGGCAGCTGTCGTTTTGTCCATCTGAGTCCTGCAGCCCCCCAGGAGGGAGATACCCCGCCTCCCTGCTCACCCCCCATGGCTGCTCCCCATCTGCAGGACGAAGTATCTCTTTCTGTGTGATCTCAATGTCCCAAGAGGCAGCTTGTGTCCGTGGCTGCCTGAACCTTCTGCCAGTGCTGAGAGGAGCTTGGCTTCACCCATCTTCTTGGTTCTTGTCCTTCCTGTAGTTGCAGGCTGCTCTTAGACCTGCTGCTGGCCTGGCCCAGCAGAGCCCAGCCGCCTCCACCACACCTCCTTGGTCGTGTGCTCCAGGTCCATTGCTGCCCATCTTCCCTGGCACCAGGGCTGTAGCACAGGGAGCCCTTTGGCGCGGTTGGCATTCACTGAGCACGAAGATGAGCTCTTTCTTTGCCTTGATGGATGTGGGCACTGTTGCCTAAGATGCCAGATGCAGCTTCATCAGCATGACAGTGGCAAACTGCTACCCTATCCTGTGGGCTTTTAAGTGCTAGGCTAACACCTGAGGGCCACATTTTCAGTCCTGGGAGTTTTATCCAGGCTGTCATTGAAGCCTGCAGTGACAATGATCTAAATTCTGAGTTGCAGAGAGACTGTGATTCATGTCCCTGAGACACATGTACAGAAACCGAGTGCAGAGGTGTTCGTTAGCCTACCTGCAAGTACCCCTTGAAGAAGATGTTACTGCTTACTGCTTCTGGAGTTTGCTGCCTTTCATGCAGTGCACTTTGCAAACTAGTAAGCTGCCTGGTGGTTGTGCATGTCCCCATTCTGCTCCCCTACGTGTGCCCTAGCACCCAGGCTGGTGGGGAGGGGTGCAGAAAGGTGTTATTTGATGTACCCTCCAATAAAAAGAAGGCCAACTGTATAAAAAAAATCACCTCCGCAGCACTGATAACCGATAGACTAGATGGTATTGGGAGACCAAATCCTACACCGTGCTACTGACACATCAGCTATTCTACTTTCTGTTCTCGAGTTATCAGTTTACAGTAAATTTCTGCTTAAAATTCAAAATTTCTTGGACCTCTGAAGATCTCTCTTTCTCCTTTCTCTCTCTTTTTCCAACAGCCTCTTGAGCTTACACGAAAAGTCCTCCGAGATAAGCAGAACAAGAAGAATTCTGGTCAGCCCATTCCAGTATTTCCATCCTGGGTGTACGAGAGACCTGCACTTATTGGCGATTTCTTAATTGGCACCAGTTTAAGCACTGACACAACGGTACCTATAGGTATGTGACATGCCGGGAAAATTGCATTAACTTTTTGTGTTTTGTACTTGTTCAAAACTGCCGTTCAGGTTCCATGACACTCAGGATGAAAGCAGAACTTGGCTCCTTGCACTCTGCAGATGAAGAGCAGGGTTCAGGAAAAAAAAAACCCACTACTTATTTGTGTCACAGTGTTTCTCCTGTGCTGGATTCCAGCCCCGCTGTTGATCCATGGGAGCTAATCTGGTTTGAGTTTCCCAGTCCTTTTTCTCTCTTGAGTCACAGCCTCCATAAAGTCCTACTGCAGGAGTGTCACATATGTATTCTCAGCTGAAAGATCTGTAGTCGTACCTGACAAGGTATTCCTCAATCCACCCAGCTCAATATCCTCTCTGATAAGACTATTACAGCCCCACTGATTTGCTGTCTCATCGATGGAGCAGCAGGGGACTAATCTCTCCCCGTTGTGTTCTGGCTTTAGGCTGAACTATGTATAGTTTCTTATTCATAAATCAGATTTTAGAACTTTTTTTGGAAGACAGCTGTGTTAGAGACTCATATGTTTCCATTCCCCAGAGCTGCGGAGGCTCCTACAAGAAACCTGTAGCTTCTTCCTGATGTGGATTTGGGTTGTGTCTAAGGGGGACATGAGAAGAGTAGGCTCATTCTTGGAGGTGCTCTTAAATAGCTTGTCCACCAGTGCATTTCTACTGGGGCCTTTTAGCATGTGCTGTTGAGGATGTGTTCCTAGCAAGCTCAGAACCAGTTGTTCTCTCACATACAGTCCTACACATGGAGAGGGGTCGTTGCCTTGTTTCATGAGACAAGCTTTGCTGTAGTTAGTGCGGTACCAACTCTGTTTGCTGATCTTCTGATGCACTTGATTATATTTCAGGTTGAGTCCTTTGTGCTTCTTTACAGCTGGTTTGTAGTTGACCACACCATTCAGAGACCCTACAGTCTGCAGGTCACCTGCAGCGTTTGCTGGGCTCACATTTCTTTGTGTCTGTATTTGAACTGTTTTCTTGATATTTGAATATTCCAGTGGAGGGGAGGTAGAGGGAGTTGTTGACAAGATTGGAGCTCCTCAGGTTCAGTGTAACCGAGCCATTTTGGCTGGAAGGATCAGCAGCACAAGCTGTGGGTGATTCTCTCTTGGCCACACATGTCAGATGTACAGCCCTGTCTATTTGGTTTGCTTTGGGTATAAATAAGCAAAGGATTCTGTTTTCCTGGAAAGCAAAGTAGATGATTTTGGCTTGACCCTAACTCAGTTTTGTTTCTCTGTATCTTGATTCAGCTTTCTGTGATCTTCCTTTGTTCTCTTTGAATGCTAGTATGTCCTCCTTTCAAGCTTAAAGTATGAGACTGAAATTACATGAATGGACGATCAGGTAGTACTATGGCATCTTCTGATTGTGTCCTTTTTTTGTCTTCTCTTTGAAAACAGGTACCTTGCCATTAGCCTCCCAAGAATCCATGATTGTGGAGGACTTGCTCTACGTTCTGATTGGTGTGGATGGAAGATACATCACAGCGCAGCCTCTCGTAGGCAGGCAGAACCGAGCGTTTTCAGTCGATCCAAACTTGGACTTGTCCATCAAAGAGCTGGTGACCAGGATTCTTCCTGTAGCAGCAAGTTACTCTGCTGTCACCAGGTACCAAGCTGCCTTTTGTCAGGCTGTAGAGAACCCGTTATTATACAGATGTTAACTTCCAAAATTAATTTAGACCTATGGGGTTATAAAATATGAATGACAATTTCTTTCAGTTGTTTTTAGCTACATTTCTTTTTTCTGGGTTTCTCCTGTGTGCTACCAGTTCATTTTTTCGCTCGCCTCACCTTCACTTTGTCCAAGCTTGGTCTTGGTACATTCAGGCAAAGTGCAAATAGGATATGCTTGCTTGTTCTGACTTCTCTCTTCCCACTGCTATGAATTTCTCCGTATTTCCTGCCTTTTGCTCTCCTCTGGGCATCCAAGACTGAGATAACCATTATGTGCTTCTGAGCAGGAAAACCTATTGCTGCCTAGTTTCTGGTAGCTACTTTAAGTAATCGTTGAAAGGTCTTAGTATCTAAGTTACACCTCGCTAACAGCAGATGTTTGGTATGTAGATGTCTGCGTTTGATTCAAAGTCCCTAGGAGATCAGCAAAGAGAAAGAAGCATTTTTAGGATGTGATTCATCCAATCTCTTTTACATGTCTCCTTCCAGATGATGTGACTTGTGTTCAGAAGCATCTGTCTCTCTGCACTAACATGTACGGAGCCACCTCAGTCTGGTCAAATGAATCTCTGCTGGGGCATGTGGTGTCAGAAGCTAGCAACAGTGCTTTCCTCACATGTCTGACTGCATGTTGCCTCCTTTTGAGATTTTTTTCCTGTCCTCTAATCTGTTGCCCACAGCTTTTCGTACTAGGAAATGTGGCAATGGGAAATAGGCATGGGGACACAGAGCAAATGTGGAACCTGTAACTCCAGCTGAAGAGTGGTGTGCTTTGCAACACATGATCTACTCGTGTGCTTGTACAGTGCCCTGAAGATAAAATTCCTGAAAGTGATAGAAGTCGCCTTGCCTGAAAGAGTTTCCATTTTGCTTTTTACAGGTTTATAGAGGAGAAGTCTTCCTTTGAGTATGGACAGGTAAATCATGCTCTGGCTGCTGCTATGCGGACTCTAATCAAGGAATACATGATACTAATTACCCAGCTGGAACATCTTCAGAGACAGGGACTTCTGTCACTGCAGAAACTCTGGTTTTATATCCAGCCCACAATGAGGACCCTGGAGATTCTTGCTTCACTCGGTAAGTTTCAAAAATAGAGTTATTACATTTTGACAGGTGCGTGACAGTGGCTTCTGAAAACTGCACGGAGTAGCAATGCAGGCAGGGCATGTGTCATTGTAATTTTGTGTTTTATTAAAGAAGAAATTCAAGGGGAGTTGTACTTGTCAGAGTACTGCTCTTTTTTGAGAGCAGTGGACTCCAGGTCTGAATCTGCCTTTCCGAGCTGTCATGAGGCAAGTCCGTGCCTTTTACCTCCACAACCCATGCTTTACACCACTGCTGTCTCTACTCAGCTTCTTTCCAAATGCCTCTCCACTGTGTGTGGATGTATAACCCCAAACTGATTCAATCAGAAGGAATCCCTGGAAGTTTCTAGTCCAGCCCCTTGCTCACAGCTACAGCAGGTTGCTCAGGGCCATGTCCAGGCAAGTCTGGACAATCCCCAGCGATGGTGATCCCCCACCATTCTGGGCCCTTTTCCATGACTTCACCACCCTTTTTGTGAACGTTTCTTTCTGTATCTCCAACTGGAATTTCCCTTCTTGTAACTTTTGCCCTTTTGATACTGTCACTGCGCTCCTCCAAGAGGAGTCTCATGCCAGCTCCTCTAGAACCACCCGTTGGATAGTGAAGGAATGTTCAACAACCCTTTTCTTTTCTCTCTGCTAACAAGCCCAGCTCCCTGAGGCTCTCCTTGTATGCCCATGGTGCTAGCCTCCCACCATCTTACTAACCTCTGCTGGACTCTTCATTTTGTCATTCATGCTAGGGACCCCACGCTGAATGGAGTGTTCCAGGTGTGGCCTCACCAGTGCTAGGCAGAGGGCAATAATCACTGGCAGTGCAGCCCTGGGTGCAGTTGGCGTTCATTGCTGCAAGGACCCGCTGCTGACCCGTGATCAGCTGGCTGCCCACCAGGAACCCCTGACCCCCTGCAGTGCTGCTACTCAGGCAGCCAAGGCCCAGCCTGTGCCCCTGCATGAGGTTGTTGATCACAGATGCAGTTACCTCAGTAATTTTGGTTAAACTCTTCAGCATGAGAATACTTGTCCATTTCTCTCTACTCAGCCCAGAGAATTTACCTGGACGTAAATATCCGTTCTATTTACAATCTGGAATTGGATGATCCCTCTTGGTGTTCATGTTTCCAGAAGTTTTCAGATTTTTGAAACACAGCAGTTAGCTGACTACGTTAAGGTTTATTTCAATCCGAAACTCACGGCAGTACTGTATTCCTCTGTCCCCACATCCCTTTTGCAATGGCAAAGTACGAATTTCACTATCAACCTACTTAAATCCTGGTGTTTGAGCTATATGCATGGCTACCTCAGTGTTCAAGTTGAGCACAGAAGTGCTTTTGAGATCAGAGGTTTCTCAAGCAAGCCACTGTAGTGTGTGGTTTCTTCCATTACCACCTGGAAAGTGGGTCTCTATACATGGTCCCCTCGGTGTAGGAGGCTTTTGGACTCTAAGCCATCATGTACGTTGTGTCTAGCTGAGTTCAGTTCTCCTCTGGAGGGTTGGGTTTGGTTATTGCCTTTTTTAGATTGTGAGTCATTTGGGGTTTTGTTTCAGGACATTTCAGGACGTAAGCTTTTGGTTGTGTGGTGGAATGGCCTTGCATCGTCACAGGAGGGGTCTATGGCTGACAGGGAGATCTGTGACTTGGGGTGGTCAGCTAATCAACTGCTAACTTCATTACGGTTAACAGCATAGCTTGTGCAATTAATCTGTGTCAGCTTTGTGTCTTATGTATCTGTATTTTTTAATTTTAGCTACTTCTGTGGATAAAGGTGAGTGCATGGGAGGATCAACCCTGAGCTTGCTCCATGACAAGACTTTCAATTACACGGGGGACAGCCAGGCCCAGGAGCTGTGCCTCTATTTAACCAAGGCCGCCAGCGTTCCTTATTTTGAAATTCTGGAAAAGTGGATATATCGAGGCATCATTAATGATCCATACAGGTAAAGAACAGTTAGGGAATGAAAATTAAATGCAGTAGTTAAGAAATACTATTAAAGTCTGTGGCTTCTACTTTTTTAGTGCACCCATCCCTCTGTTCTATAGAGTCTGCCGTAGCCTTAGGACCTGGACCTGGCAGCACTAGGTAGACAAGGCAGCATTGCAAGGAAGGGGAGCTGCTGGGGCGTGTTTAACTACATTTCTTATTTGATTCAGTGGTTATACAGTCAGAGACACTCTCACCTGCTTCATTTTTCCAAATTCAAGGAAATAACATGCAAAAGTCAATAGCACAACAGTTCAAGTATTCGGTCCACTCAAATTCCACCTTACCATACCTGCACCCCTTTCAGTATTCTCCTCTTGCATCCTCATCCTCTTCACAACAGGGGTGAGCCCTCTTCTCACGGGGCATGAGTGCGATAACTCAGTGAATCTATGTTAAATGTAGTGCACTAATATGCTGATCTGATACGAGCTAACAACACTCTCTGAAGTTTCTTGTCTTTCGTAGAATCATTTGAAGCATTTCTTTGTGTTTAGTTGTGTATGCAGCATTTCTGTTTTCCATGTTTTCAGAATCCTAAGGGGGGCAAAACTCCAGTTGAAATAGCTGAAATTAATGCCTTCCTGATGATGGGAAAGTAGACAAAGGCCAGCTTCCTCACCTATGTACTGACAACCAGATAATGTTTAGAGTTGGTTTGTGAATGCTGTAGAATTCTGTTTCTGTCATAACTGGTTGCAGATTAGCAGAAACACTCTGCATAACGCTTCTCCTCTTACTACAAGTACAGACTAATTTCAGTTCTTGACAGGAATGTATTTTCATGAGACCTTATTTGTGATAGATCATATTACCAGTTTACAGGTCAAAAAAAGTAATCTGCTTCTAAACATCTGCTTTAACTGTTCAGTGAGTTCATGGTGGAGGAACATGAGCTGCAGAAGGAGAAGATCCAGGAGGACTATAATGACAAGTACTGGGATCAAAGATACACTGTTGTTCAGCAACAAATACCCTCATTCTTGCAGAAAATGGCTGACAAAATACTAAGCACAGGTAGGTAAAGATACGCTTCTGATGTAAGAGGAATCTTGAGACAAGCATTACCATTCTTTGTATAGAGTAAAGTAAATGTCATCACACTTTGCTGGTTTGTGGCATTGTCCAGATGAACTTCTCAGAGGAATAGAAGAATCAGATTTAAAAAGAACCCGAAATCCTGTAATTAAAACAACACATGGGAAGGAGCCCAGCAGCAAGGGGAGCTGTCTGTCTTGCTGCTCTGTTTCGTGGGTACAGTTTTCTAGCAGCTAGCTAGATGGAGCTAGGCAGCTGCGGTTTGAACATGCTGAGTTTTAATTTGGGTGTTTAAATGAAGCGTGCAACCTCATGGCTACCATTGTTCTCTTCCATAAGTACAAAACCCCATAAAGCTACTTCTGAAGTGCAGCACCAGATCTTCAAAGTTTCTGGCTATCTGCAGTGATGTTTTGCCACCAATGGGAAGCAAAACCATTTCTAAATCTCTCCTTAAGCTTGATACTAGGTGCCTAATTTAAAATTCTGCATTGTCTTTTGAAAAGTATCCAAATCCTCTCCAGCTTTCAGGAGAACTTAGTGTACACATTCACAGTATATCTTCTGCTTGAAGGTCTGAAAGGTTCCCCGTTGGATACAGCAGATATGAACATGGGTCATTCTTTCTTTTTGTTTCTAGGAAAATATTTAAATGTTGTGCGAGAATGTGGACGTGATGTTACCTGCCCTGTGGCTAAAGAGGTCATCTATACTTTAAAAGAGCGAGCATATGTGGAACAAATAGAAAAAGCGTATAACTATGCTAGCAAAGTTCTTCTGGATTTCCTAATGGAGGAGAAAGAGTTGGTGGCTCACCTAAGGTTTGATTCATTTTACTAAATGCATGTTAAATAGATTGGTTCTGATAGTGAACATAGGTTTTTGAAGTTAGCTTTCTTTTCTTGGGATATTATTAATGTGTTCTCTCGATTTCCATTAGAAAGGTTGACCTGAAAAAATAAGATTTGGGGGTTTTTTTCCTGGAAAAAAAAAAAAAAGAAAAATATAAAATCCTAGAAATGTTGGTTGGGATGGATGTCTGGGAGTCTCTAGTCCAACTTCCTTGGAGGGCTGTTGCCAAAACTAGGTCAGGGCAGCTGTGGCTTTGTCTAGCTCAGTCCTCAGTGCTGGACATCCCCCACCTTTCTCATGACTTGTCCCACAGCTGCATGTCACTCCCACCCAGGAAGGAGTTTCCTAATATTTTCTGGTACGAGGTTGTGGGAAGATCTGAAGATCCATGATTCACTCCTTTGAGACTGATATGTACCTTCCTGCCCTGCGAAAATGACCAGAGAACAAGGGCTTGTTTCCTGAAAGGTTACATGAGCTGTCTGAAATCTGCCAGTCATTAAGGAGATTCTTCCGAGCCTTTCTAATGATTGTCATCCCTCCAAGCCTTCATTGCTTAATAGGGCTGTTCAAAAGACACTGGCTTCCAAAGCTCTGGCAGCACATGTCCTCTGTTGGGCCCGTCTATCTCAATGTAGTTTCAGATTAAGGTGTTGCTCAGCCTCTCTAGCTGGGGTTGATGTCTGTGACCTCCTCTTTGAAACAGGGTCTTTGCTAGATCATTCTTCAGCTGCCCTGTAATCTGCTGGGGCACGAGTGCAGGGGGGCAGGTCGTTGAGGAGGAAGCTACTGAGCTTCCAGTGCATGTGTGCGCTTTGAAGGCTGAAGTGGGATGGTTGTGATCAAACCCCAGGGACCTGTGACAAACAACTGCTTCTCAGTTAAGTGGGAGTACTGTGTCTCTCTCTCCGCCATCCCAGAAGTGTTCGTTGGAAGGGACCAACAACATTGGCATGTCTCTAGTTCAACCACCTGCTTGAAGTGGTATTGTTGCCAGCATTAGGTCAGGTTTTTATCTGGGTTTGCGCTTTAGGTGCTGGTCCTGTTTTTGCTCTGAAAACTGCAGTTATCATGTGTGATCTTTGGCCAGTTGCTAAGTTAATCCTCAAACTTTCCTCTGAGCTATTTCCAAGCTCCTGGCCCACTGCAATTAACTCTCTCTGGTGCCAAGTGAAAATTAAAGATTATGCATCCTACTATAGCAGAAGTCAGTGCAAGTACCTGGAGTACTTAAAAAATCAGCACAGATACTTGTTCATTCAGAGGAGTCCAAGATTCTGCTCTGAATTGGCAACTGCCTCTTGGATGGATCTGCACACTGTGGAGGTTGGGGGTTGTTCAGGATAGCACTGTGAGTCTTTGCCCAGCAATGTAGTGCTTTTTTTTTTTTTTCTAATGTGCATTTTTCAAGGAAAAAAAGAACAGCAGCAGCCCTGAACTGACTGCACAAAAGCATCCTGACTGAGGTTGGAAGGGAGGAGGGGACATGCATAAAAGACTAGTCTCCAAACGGGTTATTTATGGATGTGTGTTCTGTATGAAGAGGAACATTTTGTGATCAAATCCAGTAGTCTGGCTGAATTAATTGCTTTTGTTCCTTTAGGTTTAATATGGATTAGCTTTAAAAAACATAATCAATTGTCCCTTCATTTTCTTGAGCAGATCTATAAAACACTATTTCCTGATGGATCAGGGGGACTTTTTTGTTCACTTCATGGATCTCACAGAAGAGGAACTTAAGAAGCCTGTAGACGACATCATAACTACGAGGCTAGAGGCTCTGCTTGAATTAGCCCTGCGAATGAGCACAGCCAACACAGATCCCTTCAAGGACGATTTAAAGGTAAGAATGAATGTAAGCAGAAGATAATTGAATTTGAGCAGAAGGCCTGCCATGATTTGGGAAGATCCGTGTGCCTGTAAGAGCCTGACGAATGTTCAGTGACGGAAAAGAGAATTGATGGCTGTCATTCTGTAGACCACCTCTGGGTTAAGTCCTCCTTCATCCAGATTAGCAACTGGCAGCACCCACCCTGGACAGGTGGCTGCATTTTCTTGCTGGTGCCTGAACACAGAGAAGGTGCTTTTGGGTGGCCTCAGGATGAGGTGAAAACAGCAGTGTGTGTCTCGTGCTTGTTCTCAGCTTGGGTGCTCACTTTGGAGTAGAAGAAAATACCTGATTAGAAGGCCTGCCTACTAATGATTGCGTATTTTACAGATGTGAAGCAGCGCAGAGGCTGTGCCTGGGGAGTGTGAGATCTGAATAGACCTTACAGACGCCGAGGGCAAGGCAGAGCGATCAGTGGAGTAGTATGTTGTATGCTGATTGTTAAACACTACAGCAACACTGCTCTGGTGTCTGCTGCTGCGCTGTCCCGATCGTACCACTTACTATTGCTTCCTAGGTTGGCCTGATGACTTGAGAGCGACTCTGATAATTTATACTTCTGCCACACATCTGTTGCTATGCAGTAGCTGTGAGTATCCTGTGGCTTCATTTTTTTTCCTGCTCTTCCTTTATAGATCGACTTGATGCCCCATGACCTCATTACACAGCTCTTGAGAGTGCTGGCCATAGAAACGAAGCAGGAGAAGGCCATTATCAGTGCAGATCCCACGGAGCTCACTCTCAGTGGTCTGGAAGCATTTTCCTTTGACTACATTGTTAAGTGGCCTCTGTCCCTTATTATAAACAGGTAAAGTATCAAGCCACTAAAGGAAAAAAAGGCAGAAGGTTTCGCATGGGGTTGAAGCGCGTTTTCACACAGCAAAATACTGTAAAGCCTGTAGCTTTAGAGTTGCTGACTAGTAGGGAATGATTTGGTGGGTGTTGAGCCCTGCTTGCTCCACTTGTAGGCTACGCAACATGGATTGTCTCTCCAGTAGAGCCCTACTAGACTGTGTCTGAGGCGTGCTTGGGAAGTCCAGCTTTCATTTTAAGTGGTGGGAAGACATAGAACAAAGGATGCTTTCTCAGCCTGGTCCCTGGTTTTACTTGTGACTGGTCGCCCAGTTTTCATTTGTCACTGGCTTTCTGAGGTACCTGTCCTGAGAATATGAACTCTCACAAGAGGGTTTCCATACAAGAATCGAGCATTTCTCAAATGTGGAGAGCAGAAAAAAAATGCACTTTCTGGTATCCCTGGCTGCAGACTAGAAGGATACAGTCTGTTGCTAGAATTTCTGTAGCAAGCTGTTTTGCATTTAATTTGAGTTATTTGGGACTGAATGTTCATTTTTCTGCAGGGATTTGTCCCCTGCTTCCCTGGAGAAACACTGGAAGACCTGCTACTGTGAGCCAGGGCAAACGGGACAAGCAGTGTTACGTGAACAGGATGACAGTTGTTGAATTGTTAAATGCCAACAATTAGTTTGTCCTTTAATTCCCTCAGATGACACAGTGGGACTTTTCTAATAACCTGATGCTTTTGAAATTATGTCTTTTTCCTTCAAATTGGGTGTATGAGCTCTGATGGTAGCCATGGAAGTGCAAATACTATTTGGTAAGGTTTCACAAACTGTATCGACTGGAGCTCTGTAGACACCTACACTGAAGTGTCTGAATGCAGACCCGAATCCAGTCCCTGAAGCTATAAATAAGCATCCCCATCTGTTTCTGACAGTGCATTGCTGGCAGGGGAATGCTGCCTGTAGCTTGGTTACAGCTTTTTCCTCATCTTTTTGGAGAATCCTGGTGAATTGTTTTGGTGATCGTAGCAGTCTTAGTGCAGTGGGTACATGACCGCAGGCTTTCAGCCCTCCATCCCACCCTCTGCATGAGTGACCTTTCTGCAGGTAGCTTGAGGGAATTGAAGAAGGAGGCTGGAGATGTACCCGCTGGCAGGAAATACGGAGGAGGGACTCCTTGGAGAGAGATTCTTTGGGATGATTACAAATGTGATTTTTTTTTTCCTTTGGTTCGAATTGTTTCAGTGTGGATCTGTGTGTGTCTGAAGGCGTAAGGAACATGTTGTGTAAAGTCTCTTTGCCTTTGAGCAGCCTCAGCCTTCACAGCTTAGTCTGTCAATCAGAACAGGGCTTAATCTGGATGGGTTTCTCCTTTCTTTCCAGGAAGGCACTGACAAGATACCAGATGCTTTTCAGACACATGTTCTATTGCAAACATGTGGAAAGACAGCTGTGCAACGTTTGGATCAGCAATAAGACGGCCAAGCAATTCTCTCTGCATTCAGCTAAGTGGTATGGCTTTTTCTTCTGCTGGATCAGATGTGAAGTTTTGGGTTTCCTTCTTGCTAGTTAGATATGTTGTGACATGGATCAGATAATTTTGATGTGAAAAAGATACTTAAAAACTTCTTACAGGCTGAGAGAGGCCAAAATACAACAATTTGGGTTTCAGTAGAAAGTGTCTTCTCAACAATCTTCGTGCTGCTTGGCTCATTCCTCTTTGTTGGCGTGAAGTTCTGAAAAGGAAGAGATGGTCTTTAAGGTTAGCTCATTATGCACTGAACAGTTACAGCAGAGGACATCTGTGCACACACTGTCTTGGTCGTGGCTTTAGCATCAGCAAGATTAGTGAGGAACCCGGTAGTTTAAAAGCAACATCCTTCTCTTCTGGCCAGACCACTAGCAAGGGACTCGTGACCTTCACATGGCTTGGCTAATGTTTGGGGGTTTGGTGTGGTACAAATTGAATAAGGTAAAATTGGTGGGGAGTTTTCCCAGGAACTGATTCTATCGTGTTCCATTTGTGAAGGTAGATTTTCACCTCCAGATCTGCACTCCAGGTGCTGGAGGTACCTCTTTGGAGAGCAAGGCAGACCTCCCAGCACGGTGAGGCAGTCCCTTCTGCCTTGCAAGTGGCACTTTCTTGTGACAAGGTGACCTCGGCTGCCTTGGCGCTGACCTCGGCCAATGTGACTGCAGCTCTGTTTCTCCTGTAATTGTAGAGGTTTTAGCAGAACCAGATCTGCGTGGGTCTCTAGTCCAACCTCCAGCTCACGGGATGACTGTGATCAGCAGGGGACAGGGTGGCCGTGCTTGAAAGCCCCTAGAATGGAGAATTGGAAAACAAAAAGTAAAATTCATGGGTTGAGATAAAGACAGTTTAATATGACAGAAAAGGAAGGGATAATAATAATAATGATAAGAGAATATACAGAATAAGCGATGCACAGTGCAATTGCTCACCACCCACTGACCGATGCCCAGCCAGTGCCCAAGCAGCGGTTCCCCCATGGCAACTCCCCCCAGTTTACATGCTGAGCATGACGTCATATGGTCTGGAATACCCCTTCAGCCAGTTGGGGTCAGCTGTCCCGGCTGTGCCCCCTCCCAGCTTCTCGCTGGCAGGGCATGAGAAGCTGAAAAGTCCTTGACTGGTGTTAGCACTACTCAGCAACAACTAAAACATGAGTGGGTTATCAACATTCTTCTCATACTAAATCCAAAACACAGCACTATACCAGCTACTGGGATAAAAAAAAAATTAACTCTATCCCAGCCGAATCCAGGAGAATTTAATATTAAAATTTTAGTTGAGTGTAAGCAAATATTCAAAGTAATTGTCCAGTCTACAACAGGTTCAAACCTCTGACTCTGGCAATTGAGGAAAAGCCATTTGAATATGTGAAAAATTATCAGGGATTGTTTGCATTAACTTTATAATCCCTCTCACACTGCAGCAGTGAATTTGCTAGGACAGAAATATTTAGCTCTGCTTGACTGTGCAAGCCTGGTGATAAGTTCTCCATGGCATTTGCTAGCTCTAAGTTGTGTGGGTGTAATTTCTCCCCTAGGTTTGCTGGTGCTTTCACACTGCGGCAGCGGATGCTGAATTTTGTACAGAATATCCAGTATTACATGATGTTTGAAGTGATGGAGCCAACATGGCACATTCTTGAGAAGAACCTGAAGTTGGTGAGTGTGTGTGCTTGAGACCAATTGGAACAGAAGTCTTAAGTTATAAATTTAATATAGGAAAAAATGCCTAATTTCAGTTACTGCAGGTGACTTAAACATTTTGTTGGAGGCACTTAAAGTTTCTGGGCGCTGTCGTTCTTATCACACTGCAGAGTGCTGCTGTTCTACATCACCTCTTTGCTTATCAGTCATATATCCCTTTCCTCTGCTGCATTCTCCTGTCTATGCCCAGCTCATTGTCTGCACCCTGTCACGTAAAGGTCATGTCCTGCTTTTTTTTTAGACAACTATGGAAAAGGAAGAAGGATGCGTGGTGCAAAGATCATAAACAGGTCCAGACATCTTCAGTTGATTCCTTGGCTGTCTTACAGGCTCTTAAAAGCCAAGTCTGTGCTTTCTCTTTGGTGAAGCTGCCAAGGACTGGCACGTTAGGACTATCTGTTATAGAACAGGGCCTTCCTTATTCCGGTCACTATCCCACATGTACATTTCCACTGCAGGTGGGCAAGGCTGGAGAACTTTTCCGCTCTGGTGGTATCATAGAATCGTTTAGGTTGGAAAAGACCTTTAAGATCATCAAGTCCAGCTGTTAACCTAACCCTGCCATCCCGCCACTAAACCATGTCCCTAAGCACCACATCTGCCTGTCTTTTAAATCCCTCCAGGGATGGGGACTCAACCACTTCCCTGGGCAGCCCATTCCAATGCTTGATGTAATGTTCTGAGCTGTGGGATTTTCCAGGTGTGTTACAGGATATTTCTGGTTCACTAATCCAAGTCAGTGACTTTTCAAGAAGTTAACTCTTTGCAAAAACTGCAAGAATCAGTTTTTAATCTCCTGATGGCCATGTGAGATGGCTTTATTATCTCACAGAGGAACACATTCTCAGCCAGCGTCCCACCTGCCAGTTTTAAACCAAGAATGAGAAGTCATTGGAATTTTACCTTTCGGAACAGTCTGTTCAAGAAGCCCATAAAGGTATTCTCATATCTGGTTTCATTCGTGCCAGATTTGTTGGTTCCATCCTTAACAACAGAGAAAAAAATCTGTCACCAACAGATCAAGGGCTATTCTCCATCTGCCTAGAGCAAACCCTTCTCTCTCTTGATTTTGGTTTTGTTGGTTTTTTTGGGTTTTTTTTTTTTACCCAACTGTAGTAAATATCCAGGCTTTGGGGGCATACAGAGTTACTGTGGAAGTTCGTTAGACAAGTGAAGGATGATGCCAGAGCACCGGCAGATCTAGCGAAAGCCACAGCAATGCTGCAAATAGATGTTGTCTTCCTTGCCATCAGTCTGGGCCCAGCCCATAGCTTCTTCCTTCCCTGGGAACATGTGCTGGAGCCAGGGCACTGGTTGCCTCACCTCTCAGCACCAGTGGACCTGCCTGGCTTCTGCTGGTTTCTGGCATACAAACAAGTCTTTGTGGGAGGAAAAAATCAGCAGAGATGTCATCTTAGTTACTTCTGTACTGCTGCCTAAAACAGGGGCAGAGGTGTAGGCTGCCTGCTCCACATTACATAGCAAATGTCTACACTGGGTCCTGTGTGGTCCTAATGTACAACCATTTTGTGTTCTTCCATTTTCAAGTGTTTGCAGCAGTCCGGGAGGGCTGTGTTGTAGCTGCAGGGATGCGTTGCATGGGCTGCGGTATGTCGTGAAGGTCTGTGACAGTGCTCGAGGGTACAAAGCTTGGTGGAGTAGTGTTGGAGGACTTTGCCAGTGAGGGAATCTGACCTGCTGCCATCTCCTCCATGCCAGAAGACAACTTGAGAAGGCCCTTAGGAAGTACTATCCCTGAGCTTTGTGTGACGGTTGTCTTGATGTATGGCACTCAGCACAGGCAAGGGCTGTGCCAGGCAGTGAACTTGTGTTTAATTAGAGCAGACGATCAGTGATCCATTCCTCAAGCTTGCTTATTTTGCAGTGTAACCTTTGTGATGGCTGTAGTCCTTTTCCTTATCCCAAGGGATACTGTGTTCCTCATGGTCCTTCTCAGCTTCCTTACCTACTGCAGTGCTGCTGTGTTGGGGCTGGTGTTAGGGTGCCGCAGCTACTGTGAGGGAAGAGGAGGCAGATGTACATCACATTATTATTCTTCCCTCTGGTAGTCATCCTGTGATCAGGTGCTTCTGGGTTGCAAATCTTTTTCCTCTTACACTGTGAAGAGCATTTATCTGATGTACCAAACAGCCCAACACTCCTTCTGCCATCTGCAGTAAGCCACAGCAGCTCTCTTGGCAGCTCTCCAATGAGCTTTGTGAATCTTCAACATCAACTGACCCTGTCTTAGTTTCTGCCGCATACTGAGGAGTTGTTCTGGGGTCACCCAATCATCATTTTTTGATGCTCTGTCATCCTTTTTCCTGGGGAATTCACAGGAGGTGTCAGGTCTAGGATTGTGAGCATCTCTGCATACTCTTGGCGAGGACTTCAGAACAAGAAGAGGTTATATGTCAAGCTCCTGGATGATCTGAGAGAAGTGTACTTGCTTCTTAATTTTGTTGTAAGATTAGGTTTGCAAAATACAGTACTGTTTACTTTACTTGAATTGAAGCACTTGAACAAGTTATCCTGTCCCAGGTTCTTCCCTACTGGTTTCAGATAGCGCTTCCTTTCCATCTCTGCTGATTCCAGATGTCCTAGAAGGGGCTGTTAAACGCAGCGGGCACGTGGTCTGTATTGGCGGCATCCCCTGTTCAGAAGAGACAACCTCCTGACTCCAGAGTTTTTGCAGAGACTTTCTGTCTGAAGATCCCGCTCTGCTTTGGCTCTCAGTCATTGAGTTTCTCTGTTCCTTCAGAGGTATAGTGGTGTTGAAGCATTTTTATTTCAGTTCCAAAAAGGAATTTGCCAATTTATACTGTTTCTTGGAGGAATCCAGTCCCAAGAAACTTCTATCGACCAAACCTTTTTGATAGCCCAAGTGGGCAGAATTTTTTTTCCTTGCTGTGGAACGTCTGTGAGTCACTTCAACTTGCCAGAGATGTGCAGATAGCAGGTATAAAGTGACCTTGCTGGCACTGGGGAAAGGTGTTTTCATGCCTGTATGTCAAGAAGGAGATCTGTCTGTGCCTTCACCATACACTTCTTCACTCCTGAAACCTTGAGGGCTGCTGCAGTGGTTTGGAGAGCATTTCTATCATTGTACATGAAGGGCTTCTCCAAGTAATAGTGCAGTAGTAGCGACTCAAAGATGCCCGTGATGTGAATATGTACACAAGTCATTACTTGAAACTGAGGAAGTTTTTTGGCAAGTTAGCAAAGTCTTTGAGATGTAATCCATATGTATGCTTTCCTCCCATCCTCATCAGTGTCCTTCAAGGCTTTTAAATCTCTGGGAGATGGAGCATGCCCTCTACCAGTGCCAGGGCAGGGAAGGTCTGGCTCTAGGCATTGTTGTGATATGGGCACCTGTGAGTCCAACATATCAACACTGCCAGCTAAAGAAGCTGTTTCAGGCAGCCACTTTGTTATGCGGCCCTTTAAAAGGGCTGCTCACCAAGGATGACATATCCCCAGCTGCTGGGTAAAATCTTCCTTGATTTAAATAAAGGCATCATTTATTTCCAAGCAGAGGATGCAGAACTGGCTCTTTAACCTCCGTAGCCTACAGACTGGGGTAGTTTTTTCCTTTCATTTGCATTTTAGGAGGGAAAAGGATGATCCTCACTGGTCTCATGTAGTGCCTTACTCTGGTTTTCTATTTGTCAGACTTCTTTCCCGTGCATTTCCACTTGACGTTAAGGTGCTTTCTTCCTAAAAATATAACTGGTATCTTTTTCATCTTCACAACATCATTGTCTTCAAGACAACTAGCATCTTCATTGCATTAGAAAGCGGCTTGTATCCCTGTTCTGTACTAGTTGTTCAAAAGGTTATGGGGGAGTTTTTTGGCATTGATCCTGATGGAACAGTGCGGACACCTTGGCAGTTTTAGTCCTATAGTTCCTTCCAAAGCTTGACTTGTGTTCTCAGCTTCAGCACATCCCATAGTTGTACAGAGTGAGAGGGGGGTTTTAATCTATCATTTGAAACTTGAGAGAGCTGGACAAAAATCTTACAGGATCCTGGCAACACTACATGCCCCAGTTCCTTATTGTGCTCCTAAAAAAAAGTGTTTCTGAACAACCTGTATGTTTTAAAGCCTCGTAAGCTTACTGACATTTAAGGTTTTTTGATTTATTTTTCTCTTTTCTACTTATTATAGCTACCTTTACTGAGATTGTGCACATAACTCCATCCTGAGCCTCCTTTCCAGTGGAGGGCTTGGATGATTAAAGAAAGCATCATTTGGCTGAGAAGGTGATGTGACAAATCAAAGGTAAAAAGCCTGTGAAGGGCTGTTGAATGCAGTAATGCAAATACAGTCTCCATCTCAGGATGTTTCTCAAAGCTGGAAGGTACATGAGAAGTATCTCAACATGCTCTAGAGCATGTCTGAGAGGTCACTGTCAGAGGCAGGATGCTGGGTTAGAGCTTTGGTCTGGTGCAGCACAGCAGTCCTGGTTTGGTTTCTCATTACTGTATCATCCTGTCACAGGCATCTAATATTGATGATGTCCTGAGCCACCACACAAGCTTCCTGGATAACTGCTTGAAGGACTGCATGCTAACCAACCCAGAGCTGCTGAAGATCTTCTCCAAGCTGATGTCTGTCTGTGTCATGTTCACAAACTGCATGCAGGTATGTACAGCCTCCCCGTATTGACCATGCCACTGCCATCTGCTTTGGGTGCCAGCCAGCTATGACAATCCCTTTTTTCAACTCGACCCCTCTTGTCCTCAGTGCACGTGGAAGAGCCTCTGTTCCTCCCACCAGCAGGCTTTAGAGCTTGACTGCTCAGACCCTCATCCTTTCTCCCAAAGGGTTTCTGTGGCTTCTCCCTCCACAAAATTCTCTATGCTCTTCTTTTTCAGTGTTGGGATCAGTTTCATATGAACCAAATTACCTCTCTCCAGCCAGTCCTGCAGCAGAATTTGAGGTGTAAGTTGTAGGGCTCTGTAGTTTTTAGCGTGCTCTTTTGAGGGTCAGGCGAGGACTGGCGATTGGGCCCATGTAGACTTATCTCTGTGGGCACATGCTCTAGCCAGCATCTCAGGGAGCCCATAGCTTTAAAAAAAAAAAACATCTTCCTTTGGGTTTAGGGAGCTTTGCGTACTAACATTGTAAATTTAATCTCAGAGTTAGCTTTCATGGGAGTTAGCTAGCTGCAGGGCTAGCAGAACTGAGTCAGCCTCATGCTTTGCCATAGTTGTAAAAATGGGATCTAACCATTTCCCCCACCCTCTGCCCTTCCAAGAGGTTCACCCAGAGCATGAAGCTGGATAATGAGATGGACCGGCTCACCTTAGAGCATGGCACAATGCTGGGCCCGCCAACAGAGGAGGAGCGTGCTGAAGAGACTGCGAAGAAGAAGCTGACTAACAAGGTGGGACACAGGATGGTCAGCTGCGCCCTTTTCTCTCTGAATGCTGCTTGGGGTGCAGTCTGGTCAGGGTGGCTGTCCTGCCTCTTGCAGACAGACCTTCTGAGTTTCTAGAGCACCTCTGGCTCCAAAAGCAGAATCTTTGACAGATTGTGCGCATTTTTGAGGGCAGTGTGGAGCGCTGATGGTGTTCTCAAAGTCTGCTTTGAAGACCCTGTCTCCCACAGCAGTTGCTGCACTTGTTTTTAAGTACTTAGTTGTATTTTCAGCTCTGCAGTAGGTACCCACATGCAGGCTTTCTGCAACTCAAGAACTTTCTTATTTGCATAACTAGCATTTTTTGATGCATGATCCAATAAACTGTCGGGTGTGACTCTTTGCAGCCCATCCCTTTCATATCTGGGGTATTTGTCTTGTCCGTATTTCTTTGTCTCAGTGCACACGTGCTAATCTTTGGCACACAGCTGGTGGGGTCCATCACACTGCAAGGCAATCAGAGTGCTCCAGAGGTTACAACCTGTCTTGAGCAACACACACCTTCTGCTTTCTGCCTTTCCCTCCTGCTTGAAAATAAATAATGACAGCATATATTTGAGTATAACTCTACTGGGATCTGCTCTGGGATTCTACCAGATAGCCATAGCAAGGTTTTTTAACCACCAAGGACCTTGCAACTGTTCTGAAGGATTTATTTCAGTGGCCGAGTGACTGTTAAGTTTTGTGGCAGTATTTTTGAGTATGTTAGGAAATACAGAAGGAATAATTGCATCTCTTTGGCAAGTACAAATCGGCAAACACATGGGACCACTATGCCTTTGTCTTGATAGCTTTTAGCAGAGCATGCCGACAACCTCCACCTGACATCTGGCTTCGAAGCAACAATCAACAAATTTGATAGCAATTTCTCAACACATCTGCTGGACCTGTTGGACAAACTCAGTGTTTACAGCACCAATGACTGTGAGCACAGCATGCTCAACATCATCTACAGGTGAGCTGATATTTTTCTCTCAGTAACTTCACCTCCTGTGGTTCCCAAATTCAGCTCAGGAAGAATAATTGCTGTTTGTAACTGTGTGTGTCTGCCCCATCAATGAAAACACTGAAATCACAGGAAATACTGCTTTGCGTTTCAACCCAAGGCTGTAAAAAAAACCCCCCACATTCCTTTGAATTATGTGAAATTTGTCTATTAATATTGTAAATGTAATGCAAGTGTTAGGTTTTGGGGGGATTATGTCACTGCGTAGACAGTGAGTAAGCAGATTCCTGAATACAGCCTAAGTATTCCAAGAGAACTCCATGAGAAAAACATGCAAGGGATTGATTTTGTTTTAAGTTCATATCTTGTATTTATTTAAAATAAGCATCCCTTAACATGTTTTTATTGTGGCCTCATCCATGCTTACAAGCTGCTTAGAAGTAAAATTTCCTCCAGTAATACCTAAAAGTCAGGTACACAAGGTACACTGCAGGGAGAGAGAGAGAGATGGAGATCTAGTTTTTGCTGCAGGGTTTATAACCTCTGAGTTTCTTTTTCTATAAGATGAGATGCACCAGGCCTTCTTTGGAACGATTAGTGTTTGGTTTTGCTATAGAAGTCCTACGTATTAGTGTTGCTGGGCTTTTTAAGGCCTGTGTTCTAGATTGCTGTAGCATGGAGGCACCTGCCCCAGTACTTCTAGCTTTGAAGAACCATAGATAACGCTCCAGGAACATTATCCCCAGTTGAGCACATGTGCTGTGCAAGCCAATTGCTTCTCATGGTGATCCTTCCACCAGCGCTTTAGGAGCAAAACAGAAATAACTGCAACTATGGAGCTTGCTGCTGAGAGCAGCTTTTAGTGTTCGTGGCTGGAATATGTTTTTCAAGAGCTAAGCACCCATGAAACCTAGCAGCCTGCAGATTGGAAATGTTCAGCTGAGGCATGCATATAACCACAGAATAAGAAGGCAAGCGAGAGATGGGAGTTGGCATATCTTACTTCAAAGGGTCACCTTGGTGGAAGTCACGTGTAAGAGCTGCTGGTTGCCAGCCGCCTCACGCCTGGCAAAGACCGTGAATGCTTCAGAAATGCTGCTTGCAGACTGCTAAGCACATACAAAAACCAGTTCATTTTCACAGTGGCTTATTTTTCCAGTGGAGAGGCAGGATGCATACTGCATATAAGCATAATTTTAAGAGGCTAAGGTTTTCATGAATATAAAATGTTTCAATACCAACACTTTTTTCGGTGCTTGCTCTAAGGCTGTAAGCCTAGTAGACACATTTGCACTGTTACAGGCCGTGTGAGCCTGGAACGCTTGAGACTTACCTTCGTTGCTGTCAGAGAAAGCAAAGGGGCACAGAAAACAAAGCCATCCTAAACATCCATTAGTTTCTTCATGCTCTCTGTAAGCTGGTGTGTAGCCTTATTTTCCATGTGTAAGCAATCGTAAACAGCTCTTACAGAACTAGCTGGAAATTAAGGTCAGTTTTAGGTGTCGATTGGGTTTCTTTTATCTTTTTCTGAGGAAAAAGCATTCTTTTAAGAACGCTTTTCATCTGAAGTTGTAATGCTTTTCAAGGGTAGATACGCTAGAATCAGTTGTCGGCGATACGTAATTTTGTTCATAAATGTGCCTGATAACTGGATAATCACATTTTCTTTCTCCCCTTGGTGCTGTAGGGATTCGTGCCCCAACCCCTTTGATATTTAGTACGGAACAGAGTAGATCCTTACTTAGTTCTTTTTAACCACGTAGGACTAAAGGGTACTTTGAGCTTTCTCCTCACTGCTTTGTCCTCTGTTTCATTTTGCTTTATTTAAGTGTAGTCGTATTGCTCCTCTGCTTTGTTTGGTCTCTGTGAACTGTACTTTTTGTTGGTCGTTCTCATCCTTTAACTTAATCTTCAGGAAAACCATAAGAATGTTAACCTGCAGCCGTTAAGTTTTGTTCGCTGTCCCTCTGTACCAGATGTCTTTTATGGCTGGCTGATAACGCTTACACCTCTGTTGACATGTGCTACACCTGAAAACAGAGAGAGAAAATGTTTCAGGGGTGGGGTTTTTTTGAAGCAGATTGTCGCCTCCTCATGCAGTGTCTCTTGAAGCTTTCATTGTCCTTTTCTAACAGCATCTGACAGGGCTGACCAGGATTCCTGGTAACAACCATTGCAAACACTGTTTTGTGAAGTATTCCAGCAGGAGACTGGGTTCCAGTTGTCCTTTACTTCTGAGAACTTCTTGACCAGCAACTACCGTGCATTTACACAGCTCCTGTCCTCCTGTGTTAGTATCTGCTGCTGTATCTGAGATGTGGTCACACAGCTGAGACCAAGGTTGAACACTAAAGCCTGTCATCCCTGTTACCATGGGTGCTTCCAGGAGTGGAGTCTAGCCCACCAGCTAGAGAACTACATGTCTTTGTCTTCTTCCTTGTACCATTGTACTCCTTATTTAAGGAGGACAGGGTATACTCATAGGCATCTGAAAGGAAGTGCAGTGCCACAGGACTGCTTGCTGCTCTGAACTCTCCTGCTTCCATTCCCTGTCAGAGCAGGAGCCTATCTTCCTACCACCAGAACTGCCCTTGTTGGTTGATACTCAGTCCCTGAAATGGGAAGGTAGGTGAAGACCCCTTCTCCACAGTCCTAGTAACTCTGATTCACTCCATTTCTGAAGTGTCAGAGTCAGAGATCTCCTTCTTATCTTGGAAACTCTTCCAAAACTTTTTCTGTGGCTGTAAGTAGAGGCCCTGACTGTACAAGTGATTGCTGTTCCTTTCAGGCCTAACCAGGACAGCTAAGTCTCTGCACATCCTTTTAGGAAATGATGGTGCAGCTGAGCAAGGCATTCTCTACATTTTATGTCAGCCTTCATCTGCCTGGGCATCTCTGTTCATCATCATTGAACTGTTGTAGATTGCAGGCAGGGTCCCTCTGTAGAAAAATTGACAGGCCGAAGGTATTAAGCTCTTAGGGTCCCCTTGCTGCCATCACCCCTAGGTGTCACAGCAGCATACAGAGTTAGGCTAAATTCAGGGATCAAGACCACAAGCAGTTGAGTCATCCAGGCAAGAACATTTGCTCCTCCTCAGTGCTCCAGCCCTGCCGCCTTCTTTATCAAGCACGCACATTTTTATCATTACCAGTACAAATTCTAACAGATGGGCTTTTTTATGATGCTCCATCCAAGAGATCTTAATGGCAACTAACTCCATGATCCAGCTGCTTGGACATCATTCCAGGTGGCACAGGGCATGGCCAACACAGTGTTGAAGACCAAGTTGCCTGCTCCTTTAATAGAAAAGCATCATAACCGCACAGTCCTTGAGTCTTGTAAAAAATGTGTGGAAATCGTCCCATTGGTGTGATCACCCAGCTCAATCCAAGGTTGGAGTTGGTTCTCAGGTTACTCAAGAAGTCAACAACGTCAAGTCCTCTACCAGTCTTTACGCCATGCAGCAGCAGAAGTCCCATGGCCTTCCATCACACTTTATCACATGTGATGCCAGACATTCATGTAAGGCCTTTTCTGGCAATAGCTCAGGTGGTGGCCTCCTTCCAGCACTGCTCCTACACTTACCATCAGAGGTTCACCCCTTTTATCGCCTCCCCACCCTTGTGTCAACTTTATGCTTCTACCAGGACGGTGGGACAAACTGATGCTGCACCATGGAGACTGGCTGTGTATCTTGTTCAGTTGTGGGTCCATGGTGCTATGGAGCACGGTGCCATGGTGCATGGAGCTATCTTCTACCAGATGCCTTTGTGTTTCACAGACCACATGCAGGGTTAGCTGGTGCTGGAGCTGGCTCTTCCAAATATGGAGGGGTTGGGTTTTGCAGTGAGTACTTCCTGCATCAGGAGAAAGGGGAAGTATGGTGATTCAGGCAGGTTGTGAGAAAACAAAATGTTTCAGTTAGCAGTTTGCAACCGAGAGTGGTGACCAGCTATTCAGAAGAGGGTCTGAGTCCTTTGCCCCCTGGTATTTCCATGCCCCAGTTCTGTTCAAGGGCTGCAGAGGAAACACTGGGTCTTTATGCCATCAGGACTGGCATCACCATCGAGTCCCCCAGTTTCGACTGTCTGGGACCACATGAGTCTTCACCAAGATGTTGGACGTAGCTGGACCTTTACTGACAAACCAGATGTCCCCACTTCCTTGACTGAAATACTGCATGCTAGCAGGCCATGCAACAGAACATGTCTTCCCATTCCTACAGGCTGCTCGGTAACGTTTTAAAGAGTGGAAGTCCCACGGTGAGTGCCCAGACGTGACATTTAGCTCTCATTCAGTCTGTAGAGATTATTGGATCGAGTCCCGGACTCTATGGCAACAGGAACCCAAGAACTGGAGCGGAGACAGTTGCCATCTGAAATAACATATTTGACAGAGACGGAAGAGTTTATAAGACATACCGGTCTTTTCTTAAAAATTATAACCTTTTTATATGACTTCTTTTCAAGCATGATAGTCAACAGGTACGATAGAAGACAAACCATCCCTTTTATTCGTAACTCTGGTTCCGTGCTTTCATTTATGTGATCCTGGTTAATATTTATTCAGTTTACAGTACTGAGTAACTGGGGAACAATCATGGTATTTGTAGCACCAAACAACAAAAGACAGAGATCCAGAGGGTTTCCTTCAACATGGGGAAGCTCACACGTAACTCGCAGATCTTCAGTGTGCTGAAGTCCTGCTCAGGTGCCTTGGCTCCATCACTAGCAGTGCTGACAGAGGGGCGGCAACCGCAGAAAATCTCCAGAATCAGCCCTTCGCATCCCAGTAATGAAAAGGAGAAGAATTACAGCTTAGAGGCCTACGTCAAAAGGATTACTTAATTCCAAATACGTAGAAATCTTACCCATCAAGTGCTGTTAACACTCATCGGATATCCTTCCTTTATCAGTTTGGAGGAAACAGCAATGACCGAGCTTTAGAGTAAGACCGGTAGGACATATGAAGTGATGCAAACCCCAGTGAATAACAGTTCCAGCCACAAAACAAGAAACTGAAGCGTAAGCAGAGTTTGAGGAAGCACCACACAAGTACTTCAGAGATGGTTATCGAAGATCATTTAACCCTAAAAACATAGCTGAAAGGGAAGCACATTGAAATCTGCAAAGCAGATCCTCAAAGCGGGGATGTGGAGGAGTCCTGGCTTGTATTTGAATCAAAGCTTGGTAAATATGCCTGCCCCAGTGTCAGGCTTCCTTTGTACAACACTTAAAGGACGGGAGGAATAAAAGCTTTTCAACCAGGAGAGAGCAACAGATAAATTCCATCTGTCGAGGCTCTGTTTTCTGCAGTCACCAAAAAATGTCAAGGAACAATTTGTTGCCGTTTGTGTAAGGTTGTTAAGCAACATGAAGCTCAAATATTGTGCCCATTCATTTAGTATTGGAGCAACTTAATTTGAGAAATGGAGAGAGTAACTTTTGTGTGATTCACAGGCTTATACTGACTGTTGCTTAGCGTTCCCAGGACACACGTTTTTAATGCCACATCTTAGTTGGCTGTCTAGTGCAGAGATCTGCCTAAGGAAGGCCAAAGCAGGCATGGAGCGGGGTGGTTTTGTGGCGTTGTTTTGGATTACGAAGGAGACGGGATTGTGATATTGCTGATGTTGCCCGCTTTGGAGAGGCATTCACAAGCATCAGCAGTACTTGTGATTTTGGCTGAGCGCCTTCCAACCAGTTACTTATCTTCTTGAATCGTGAATCTATTTGAAGCATATTCGTGTTAGCAAGGAGGTAGTGGTAATGGAAACTGCAACTTTTCATGGTGGTTATGGTGGATAGCATGGTGGATTACATATGGGAATTAATACTGGAGTTCAGTGGTTGTGAACTGTGGTATTAAACCGTGGTGGGAAGTGGCCAGGAAGGTGCAGAGATGGAGGAGTCCTCACCCTTGACACCTTGTCCCCAAGTGACATGTCTCCAGGGTTGTGTGGTCAAGCTGTGGCTCTGGAGAAGAAGCTATGAGCAATTGGTCCTTCCCAATGTATTTTGGTCCTTCACGATGTATTTTATACACCTGTAAAGAACAGGTGAAATTTAGCCTGTTGTCAAGGGACAAGCACAGAAGAAGTGTCACCAACAACACCCGTGGCACAGTGCAGACATCCCCATCTCACTCTGAACAAGCCACTGTGTCCACCCAGCCCGGGGCAGTCCCATGCAGGGGTGGCAGGTCTGGAGCTCGCTGCGGTGTGGCCATGTTCAGCTGATGCCCCAGGAGAGGTTTCTCCTCCGGGGCCGTGGTTGGGTAAGGGCAAGGCTATGCTCAGCAGGGTGGGCACGGGGAGCGCGGCCGCTTGAGAGGTCTGTGCTGCGGAGCAGAGCCCCTTGCTGCCCAAGCAAGCACCCTCCCCTTCTCCCCACCGCGAGACTTGCTTTGCTTCACACTCCTCATTTCAAAGAACTTTGTCCTAAAATTCGTCTGGCCTTATGAAGGAGTTTATGTCGTTGGATCCCCTTGCTGCCCGTGAGTGCCTCAACAAGCACGTGCTCTGCGGCACTTGCAGCACCGGGCTCTCGGGGGCCCTGGGCAGCGTGTTTGGCTTGCTGCGTGCCACTCAAGTGGTGTTGAGCCGGCAGGCTGCTGAAATTTCGGGGTTTTTGTCTTTCAGGCTGGACTTCAATGGGTTCTATACAGAGCGCTTGGAGCACATGTCTGCCGAGCGCAGCCAGAAGGCAGCTCCCCTGCTTCCCCGCCTGGCCGTACCTGCCCAGTGAGGCCCTGCTGCGCCCCTTCTGCACCCGCAGACAACAGACACCCACTTCGAGCTGAGAGTACTCAACCTCTACATTCTCAGTGCGAGCTGGAAACAAACCGTAAGGGTTGGCCCGGAGAGGCAGGGGAATATTCAGCCTCCTGAAATGTACGTAACGGATTTTCTCTTCCAAGAGGCTTTTCTTAAGTCCTTTTTTTTTTTTTTTTTTTACTACATTGTAAAATGATGTATTTGTGTGTTGTAAAATAAATTACAAAAAAATCAGGTTTACTTTGTCTGTTAACAGAACTCAGGGTGTAAATTAGTCTTTTAGGTGACTAAATTTGGGCTGGCTCACAGAGATCTGGCTGAGCAGCCATGCGGCATTGTTTTGGGAGGGGAGCCTAATTGGGGGGTTGCTGGAATGAAGCTGATGAGCTGCTCTGGCCGATGAGATGGGGTTTGCAGCTGATG